CATCCCCACTTCGACCCACCTGGTCTGCCCCCTTCTTGGTTTGAGATAGGAAGAATGTAGAAATTAACCTGTTTGACAGCAACGCTGCAAAGATAATTGTATGAGCACAGCACAAGTTTGGTTGGTTTTTTTTTTTGGTTTTCTTTCTTTTTCCCGTTTTCCTTTCTTTATTTTTAGGTTGCGTTCGTATTTTCAAAGAACCAATGGATGCCATTTGTGCATGATGTAGATTGAATGATAAGTGAGCGCAGCACTGTGGTATGAAGCAATTAAGGAAAACATTGCTATGTTTTTTATGAAGTGCTTTGAATAAAGCTTATTAATGATAGCATGTATACGGTAGTAAAAGACAAGATTTAGAAGATGCTATTGTGGCTGAGTTGGAGTAACAACAGAAGTCTTGCGTAGTGCAGGGAATGTATGAAGTTGTCTTAACTTTTCTGTTCTCTTTTCCTTGTTTCTTCTGGTTCGATTATGTTTATTTCTAAAATACGGCAGCCTGTCACACGCTTATATATATGTATATATATTTTTGCTGCCAATTGGATGTTGTTGGGAAGGGGGGGGGGGGGTGTATTAAAAATCTTCCCCCTGCCTGGGAGATTGGTTGGCAGGGAGAAGTGTGAAGTGTGTTGTACCCTGTGATGTGTCAGTGTGTAACATCTTGCTTGCAGCACGTTATTTGTTGTATTTTTTTGTTTCTTCGTTCCTCACTTTTTTCTTCATCGTAGTTGTTGTAAAATGCTTATCTGCATTTATTGTGATAATATTCTTTAAAAGACTAAAATCGTGAGAAATGTGTGTTTTTTCTCCATTTTCATTCACTGAAATATTTAGCTGTTTCGGTACTTTAGGATTATATCCATCCATTGTTACATTTTAATGTCAGTATAAATACCAATGTTGTGAACGGTGCCTTAAATGCCTTTTTGCTGTGGCAACAAAATATAATGGGCTGTTCATTTCTGCTGATACAATCTGCTTCATTACTTGAAAATTGTTGTCTTTCCATTTCCTTGATAGATAACAAGGTGGAAACAAAATTGTTTTATGAGCTGTTAACAAAAGATATAGACAGCGAATTTGTCACAAATATAATAGTTCAGTTTTGTGATCCCAGATGTATTTTAGAAATGCTTTCTTTGGTTGTCGTAACGAGGTTTGATCACCCTTCCTTGTACATAAATGACTTATATTTTTCTTTCGGTTTTTTTTTCCTCCATTTATTTGAGTGGAGGAGGGTACTGCTGGTAAAAATGCCTTTTCTTTCAACTCTCCCGGTAATTTCTGTCTCTATTCACCCTATTTCGTGCCACTGACCATCTAAGGGGTGATGTATTTCCATAAGTTGTTCTTGATTAATGGCAGGAATTATTCCACCTTTATAAACCGTAACCAGGTTTACCTGGGGCTGAGTCCACGTTCTCAAACAAGGAGCCCGTTTCACCCGTTTCCCCCCTTTTATGGATGTGGTTTTCAGGCTTCTGTGCCCCCTTCTTTTTGTCTCCTGTTTCCGACTTTTGATGCAACCTATGTGTGTTTATTGTCACAGATATGTGATACAGGAGATGAAAAAAGTATTTTTATTCCTTGAGGTGTTTTTTTTTCTTTCCAAAATTCATAGCTGCCAACCAGTGTAGTATTAAAAAAAACCCCATGGTAAAATACATTTTTTAATGTCTGAATATGGGAGCTCTGTTTTTGTATCAGAAAATATGCTTTTGGTTTTCTAGCATTTCTGCACAGTCTAGAGGATGCTGTAGTAAAATTATGAACTTTCAAGACCAGATTTGCAAGTAATAATGGAATCAAAGCCCACCATAATAAGTCAATTTGAGAGATCTTTAGCTGCAGGTTTAGTTTGAATTAATTGAATACAGAAAAACAGTGTGAAGGGTTTGATTGGGTTGGGTGGTGTTATGTGGACAACAACTTCCATCTTGACCTGCCGCTGGGTACAGCCTATTTTTGCTCATTTCCAACAGTTAGCAGCAATGGGACTGGTTTTGCTGGCTTTTCTTTGCAGAGATTTAGACTGGAAAAAGTTGCTGTGTAAATGTAAAAGTAAAAGTGATTATTTATATAAATGATGGAAAGCCTACATCTCACAAACGTTTACTTTGCTGGCTGGTTCATTTTGTTATACCATCAGTTTCCTGGAGAACATAGAGTGTTGCTGTTGGTTGAGCACGTACATGGACCAATATATCTTGTTCCTTACGTTTTTTAAAAATTAAAAAAGTTATTGGGTTCCTTACGTTTGTTTGAATTAAAAAAGTTATCTGGTTCCTTACGTTTGTTTGAATTAAAAAAGTTATCTGGTTCCTTACGTTTGTTTGAATTAAAAAAGTTATCTGGTTCCTTATGTTTGTTTGAATTAAAAAAGTTATCTGATGCCTTCCTTTTGTAGCACCAAGACCGGCAGGTTGTTCAAGGTTGCACGTTCAAAATAAAAAGAGTTATCTTTCTCCTATACATTGGGACCATAATATGTTCTCATTGCGTGATTTTTTGGGGGTAAAAGACATTACGTAAAGAGTGAGACTTTTAAAAATGAAAAATAAGCATTTCGGCAATTCAAACATCTCACTTTGTTTGGTACTGACATTTTTACTACATGAGGGTTTATCAGTTTGCGTCAGCGTTTGATGGTGTGATATTAGCTGTTGTTTGTGTGTCGACTTTGTGCTAATAGTTTTGTGTGACATTGTTCTGTTGTGGCCCGTCGGCGTCCCCCTTTGTTCTATTCAAAGGATGGTTGGAGGGCACTACTAGTACTTCCCTCTTCTTTTCTTTCCCATTTTGTGGGGGTCTATAATTGTCTTGCTTTTTCCATGTTTGAAATGGCTGTTATTGTGTTGGTATGTTTCTCTTTTCTCAAACTTGTCATTGATTAAGCTGCTAGCTTTCTGGGAGTCCATTGTGTTTGAAAATAGCTAATGGGGGATGGTGCTTTTCTCAATTTGTCTGTTGTTTCATAAGATAAGTGCACTATCTTTCAAGTTGACTGGATAGAGGCCATAAGTAGTGCAGCTGACAGACAGAAAGAAGGGGGGTTCGGTGGCGCTGATGCGGAGAGTGGTTGGTGTGGTGGGTTGCTTGAGGTTCTTGTCATGTCATCTTTTTTCTTATGTGGATGGTTAGAGGGTCCCATGGTACGTCAGATTAAGGTCCTTGTGTTGTTCTGTCTTTCTATTGTTTCTTCCTGTCAGTTGTTTACTCTTTCCAAGCTCTACACACCTGTGATTGCATCAATGTGCCACTCTTTTTCTCAAACAAAAAAAAGCCCCCCAAAAACAGAATTGAAAAAAAAAACACCTCTTCTCCTGCGGGTGTTGGTTACTGCTGTGGTGTGGTTCCTCCTTCTGCTTCTTTCTTCTTCAGTCCAGCCAGTCTCTTAGTCTGTCAGCAGACTTACATACAAGTTTGTTGTATTAACCCTATCCGTACGTCTGGGGTCATTTTGTACCCCGGGGGTTGTGTTCTTCACATTTTAGAATACTTCTAGTTCGAAGATCTCTTTGAAACTTTCAGTATTTCTCAAAAAATCCTTTTGACAGACTGCTATGCAAAGCGTACTGATCAGATTACAGAGTAAATTTCCTCTTTGGAAAGTGAGGGCACAGAGTTCCCCTCGTCGTATGGATACGGTGGTAAAACACTACATATTGATAGAGTTAAACAGCTGTTTGGAGGTTAGTCTAGGTAGGGCTCACTTCTTTGCTTTCCTCTATTGTTTCTGCCAATTTGTCTTGATTTTACCCAGCGCTAAATGGGTGTGAGGATGGTTGGGAGGTCCCACTTGTTTCTTTTCTTTTTGTTGTCTCTATCTTGCTTTCCCCCCTGCACTAAATGACCATACCTGTTTCGATGAATGATATTATTTGACTGAGTTTGCCCTTTAGAAAATTTTTTACCCGCCGTTTGAAGAAACAGGTAGATCTCTTATACCCCCTCAGTCAAGTAAAGACCCTGACTTCGAAATAGCTTACTATAACTTGCATATATAGGTCCAGTATGACATGAGCACTTAGTGGAAACAGAGACAAGCACAAACAAAATCTATGTTTCGAGAGGGCTTGAATAATGAGCTCATGGTTAGTAGGAGTTTTGTTACAGACTGGTTATTTAACCTCTTTTCAGTTGCATTTCTATTAATATTATTCTCAACTTAATTCTTAACAAAATGACATTGTTATTCTCACAGGGTATTTATAAGCTGCTACTCTCTGTCTTGTTGATATACTTCTGTCCCGTCCCTCCTGTCATCTTTTGCTATTTCCCACCTCCGTCTGGTAATTCTTTTGTTCAAATGTTTCTCCACAACCAAATGTAAAGAAAGACGTTTTCATTTAAAATATGCGACGCAGACTCTCCCACATCTAGGAGTGTATTGAGGTGTGGTAATCTCCCTCGTTTTTTGTCTGTTTTTAAATTATTTTTTTTCTAGTTAATAGATCTAGTATTTCTCTTGCCAGTCACACACAGACAAGCTTTTTATGATGTTAATGTGATTCTTTCTATCTCTGTACCTTCCTTTGAAAACTATTTTTATAAATGAGTTCACATCTCTTGCTGTGTTATGTGGAGGTTTGATCTCTGTGTGCGCGGGTAGTTGGAAGGCACCACTTGTAGGTTCTACTTCTTTTCTTTCCCTCTGTTGTTTCTGTCTGTCTGTCTGTCTTGCTTCTTCCTAGCACCATGTGACCATTATCGTGTCGATGTGCTTCTCTTTACTCAAACCGCTGTGTGTGGATGATTGGAGGGCGCTACTTGTACTTCATACTTCTTTTCTTTCCCCCTATTGTTACTTTCTATATGTCTTGCTTCTGCCCAGCGCTTTATGACCATTACGGTGTTGTTGTGCTTGCGTTTACGCGCGTGTCTTGTCCTCTCAGCAGGTGACCCAGGAGCTACAGCGGCGCCACGACGAGGCACAGAAGCGACAGGACAGCGAGGCCATGCCCCCGCCCCCTGCCCCACCCCCTCTGCCTCCTGGAGAACACTACCACGATGGTTTGTACTTTGTCCTTCACGGCTACGAAATGTCCTGAAAAATATATAGAATCATTTTTTAGCAAATTTATTGAAACTTGTGATGTAAAAATGGTTTAGCTTTCTGAATTTCATATAATCTCCCGTTTTTGATTAAAAAAAAGAATTAAGGGCCTTTTTTCGGCGATATCACAAAATGAAATTCTGCATCCTCCGACGGAATGCTTGAGGCACTTAAAAAGAAGTACTGGCCCATCCCTAGGCAGAGAGACCCAAAACTTGTTTGGGTCTGGAGGACCTGCGGCGAACAGCAGCCTTCGCACAAGAGACTGGAATGTCCATTTGCAGATTAACAAGAAGAAAATTGTTGTAATTAGCTGAAGAGTCTGTCTTAAGCAATTTGTGAGTTTGAAATTTTAAAGTTAAATGAGTGTAAAGGGTTATAATAGGTCCATTTGAATCATCAATAGGTTTGATATAATTTATCAAAATCATCAAAAGGGATTAATGGTTTGTTTTCGTTTGTGATGGGATATGAGTTAAGAAAAGTATTTGTGAACAGCATGTTTGTGATTCAAGTTGCTCCAAGCCAGGTCTGCTAACGCGTATGTTCACTTTTTGACACCTTCCCACAGGAACAAACCCTATGATGAGCCCACACCCGGGGGCCAGTCCCTATGGACGGCACGGCTGGCCGGAAGAAGGAGGCATGAAGTCTCCTGGAGACATGCCCGGAACACCAGGTAAGTTCACCTGTATGTACATATGGAGAGAGGGAGGACCACTGCCAGTGGTGGAGTTGAGGTTCCTCACAGTTGTGGGCAGAAAACATGAGTTTGATTCTCCTGAGGGAGATTTTTGTTGAAGCTCCTCTCAGTTGCAGGCAGAAACCATAGGTTTGATTCTTGTGCAGGAAAGTTGTTTTTTTTAAATGGTGTATCTCCATCTTGATTCTAGAATACTGTATCTTGTTCAGCTAAGGTTGGCAGAGACAGGGAGGGTTGAAGCTGTTTGCCTCTGACATGATCTTAATCATGTTGGTCGGGGTGGAAGGCAACTACAGTCTACAGGCAGAACGGCTGCTGTAATGTCTGTGACCTGTTGGGATTGGTGTCGAGACTTTTTGCTGGACCTGGCAGATGTAAGAATCCAAACCTCACTTTTATTTAATTAAGAAGAATCTGAGATTTTTGCATTATATTTTTGGTGGCCAAGGGGTGGCAGGTTGATGTCTTGTCACAAATGAAGCCTCTAATTTCCAGACTTTTATTATATGTGTCGTTGATTGAAGGACGCCACTGGTAGGTCTTACTTTTTTACCTTTCCTGTTTTCTCTGTCAGTTTGTCATGTTTTTTCTCCACACTAAATGACCATTATTGTGTCGATGTGCTTGCCTTTTCTGAAACAGACAAATTGCTGAAAGTGGCATCCGCTTTCTTCCTTTTCTATTTTTTAGAAAGTATTTCGATTGATTCCATTCTGGTTTACACTGTTAATGTTTTTAAAAAAACATTTTTTTTAACCAGGTCAAGATGGTGGGGTCTTTTCTCCCAAAGGCAATGCCACCCCTGGATCTGGAGGGGCAGGTGGTGGGGTGTCCTCCCCTGATCCTTACGCCTTCCCCTCGCAGGGGGGTTCGGACCCGTTCTCCCCGTCCCAGGTACGGCCGGGCGGACCCCCGCGTCCTCCACAGCACAGACTGCCGGGCCTGCAGACGTTTGGCGTGTCCAGCCCGCGGGATGACGAGGCCATGTTCAACGCCCCAGGCATGAGTCCGAGAATCCGACCAAATACTGACCCTTTTGCGATGGGTGGACAGCCAGGGACGCCCGGACAAGACATGTTCATGGGAGGGGCTAGGAGAGCCTCAGGTATGTACAGGGAATATGAGAGGTTGTTACTGGTGTCACAGTTTACCTTTGATTGTGCTGTAAAACACTTATAATTGTGTTGCAAGTTCTGAAAAAAGCTTACTATAATCTTACTTCTTTTCTTTCTTACCTTTCTTTCTGTTTGTCTGTCTTGCTTTTTCCTGCAGGTAAGGGCGGTTGGTTGCCAAGACTTTACTTCTTTCCTTTTATTTGAATCAGACCCACTTCCTCTATCTTTGGGTGGTTGGAGGACGCTATTGGTTGTTCCTACTTCTCTTTCCTTCTGTTGTTTCTGTCTGCCTTTCTTATATTTTCCCTGTGGTGTTCTGGTGTGGTTTGCTTCTTCTTTCCTATCAAACATCTACCGTCCTTATCTCCCCTTCTTCTCTTTTATGTTTGTTACTCTCTTGTAACACCTTTAATCTTCTGGCACTCATATGACCTTATGCAGTCGCGAGTGCCGTAAAACCTCTACTAAAACCAAACCTAAATTGTGAATTGTGTTGATGTGCTCCTATTTTTTCTCATATGAACAAGCTCCTCAAACTTAACTGATTACGTGAGTGGTTGGCGGGTGCTCTGGTGTGGTTTGCTCCTTCTTTCCTATCAAACATCTATCGTCCTGATCTCTCCTCGTTCTGTTTAATGTTTGTTACTCTCTTGTAACACTTCTCATCTTCAGCACTTATATGACCTTATTGTGTTGTAAGTTCCGTAAAACTCTTACTAAAACTAAACTTTCCTAGCAAACATCTATTGTCCTTATCTCTCCTCCTCCTCCTCCTTTTTTTATGTTTGGTGTTCTCTTGTAACACCTCTAATCTTTTGCACTTATATGTCTTAAATGTGTTGCAATGCCGTAAAACTCTTACCAAAACAAATAAGCTGACCACAGCATTGATATGTCCATCCACAGAGCCAGGGCCTCGCATGACTATGCCACCACAGGCTGATGCCAGCGCCCCCCTGGGAGACTCGAGCCAGCCTCGACCCCCCAACCTTCCGTCCTCTGACCCCTACGCCTTCCCGCCCAACCAGCCACAAACTCCTGGTAAGTGCACAGTCAATGCACAAGGCGAGACTAGCAAAACTACTCTAAGATTTTTTCAAGAAATGAAGATGCATTGGAAGCTTTCAAGGCTCTTCTGCCGCTGTTTTTAATATAGTATAGAGTTTTATAATTTTACAGGAAAGCCCCAAAAATTGAAAGTAAAAATACATTGGCTTTAAGAGGATAAGGAAGTCATTATAAAAATTTCTAAAACAGAGGAACTCATCTAGGTTTGAAGTGAAAGGGAAATGAGGGGTTCTTTTCTTTAAAAAAAAAAAATTACTAGAAGATAAGCTGGAAAGAGGGATACCTTTTCTTCATTTCTTTAATTTTGTAAGGTATTTCTACATTATTAGAATCCGTATTCTGTGCATTTTTTTTTTGCACGTTTTGTACAATTTTTTTTTTGGTTTCATTTTCTGTAGGTGGTCAGCCAGAGGATAGCTTCATCCCGCCAGGGGCAGCAACTCCAGACCCGTACCACCAAGGCCGGGGGCGTGGAGATCAGATGTACGGAGTGGGCTCCCCTCAGATGCGACCTCCGCTGACACCCACGTCCATGGGTCCAGGACAGGGCGCCCCTTATCCAGGTTCACCAGTGCGCATGCCTGACCCTGGCTTTAGGTGAGTATTTTTACTTTTTACTTGTGTCTGCCACTTCTACCCTTTTGGGTGTCGCGTGAAGACTGAGACGTCTCTCTGTCGCCAGCCGGAGAGCTTGGGTCAGGGGGATGCCGTGGGTGGTTAATGTTTCCCTGACTCCATCTATCCAGGTCTTTCTCGGTCGCCTTCTAGCCATGTTGCCATCGAATTTTTGGATGTAGGCACGTTGTGCTGGATAGTGTGTTGGTAATCGTAGATGTCCGAACCATTTGATTCTTTGGTGTTGGATGTGATGCATGACGTCATTTGTGCCCACCATTTCTCGGATTACAGAGTTTCTAATTTTGTCTCGCCTGGTCTTGTTTATAGCTTTTCTAAGGCACCGCATTTCACATGGTGAGTGGGGCACTGAAAACACAAGTTCGATTCCCATGTGGGGGAGATTTTTTATTGAGTGTCTCTGTTTACTGGGAAGTCGTATTTTTTCCTTTTCATGTGTTGGTCCCGGCAGGCAGGGTCGAAGAAGCCTAAATTGTGTTGCTAGGGGTGTGAAACAGCTACATGTTTTTTTTTTGGCATGGTGTCAGTTGTAATGTTAACAACTTCTGTACCTTAGACCGACACCTTCCCCAAGGTTTCAACTCTATCCCAATTTCCCTCATGATAATGAGAAGACTTACCTGGTTCAATATTCTATTGTTAAGGAAAAAGGTTTTTTTGGGGTTGCTCAAGAATATTTTAAGATTTGCTTTGGTTATTTTGTTCTCTTAAAATAGATTTTAGAGAGACCTCAACACTAAAACATTACATGTGATGTTTTGGGAAAACACCATTCTTTAACAAACATACATACACGCACACACATACACACATACATTGAGGGATTTCGTCACTTTCAAGGTTTGTACCAAAAGAGTGTTCTGGCATAGCTAGATAACTTTTTCCTAAGATAAAGACTTAAAATATGCCACAATACATTCTGAGGAAGGGTGTGACCCTGAAGAGATGCAATGTTTTTATGTTGAGGCTTCCACAAAACTTAATTGTTGGCTTTATCAAATGATTGGGCCTTATTCTGCTTAGATAGCTAATTCTGTTTTAGTAGGAACTTAAAAGCGCTTTTTTCCCCCCCTTTAAAAAGACAATTGCGGATAATCCACAGGCATCCTTTGGCCCGGTCCAACAGCTTGCCGGATCCGTACAGCATGCAGATGGGCACCCCCCGCCCCCCGATGGACCCGTCGATGTCGCGCTCCATGTCGGACGTGAGCCCAGAGAACATGAACATGTTCCGTGGTGGCCCTAGGATGCCCATGCCTCCACACTCTGAGGTACGTCGCCTTTTCGTCCCTGCAAATACTTACCACCTCTCCCCTCCCCCCCTCCCTGTCAGCTGTGTGCAATGCCAGCTGCTGTTTCTTCTTTGCCTGTCATTAGAGTTCTCTCTCTCTTATTTTCTTTTTCTACTGTCAGTTTTGTTTTCTACTGTGAGGAAAGAGTTTGCTTCAGGTATTGCTTTAGGCGACAGGGATTATGATTAAGCCGCTGTAGGCCAGAGGAGTCGCATTGCGGGCGACAGAAATGGTGATCTCGCCATTGAAGGAAACAGGAATGGTGATCTAGTTGTTGTAGGTGACATGAATGGTGATCTAGTAGGTGAAGGGAATGGTGATCTAGCCATTGCAGGTGAAGGGAATGGTGATCTAGCCATTGCAGGTGAAGGGAATGGTGATCTAGCCATTGCAGGTTAAGGGAATGGTGATCTAGCCATTGTAGGTTAAGGGAATGGTGATCTAGCCATTGTAGGTTAAGGGAATGGTGATCTAGCCATTGTAGGTTAAGGGAATGGTGATCTAGCCATTGTAGGTTAAGGGTGTAGTATTCATGCTATTGTAGATGGATTGAACATTTTGTGTCAAGGCATTTGATGTTGGAAAAGAGGCAGTGGACTCGGTATGGAAAGGTTGTTATTCACCATTTGTTTCCAAGTGAAAGAGCACAGAGACGACTCAAACCTGTTGATGCTTTGAGAAAATTGGATGATGTTGTCGTAATACCAGAAGCAAAATCTGAGTCACTTTTTTTTTCTTTCATTTCATTATGCTTTTATTAATCTGGATCTATATTTTTACACTGTTTTAGAATATATTTATTATGGTTTGGGTCTGTTCTTTTTTTTTTTACTCCCCCCCCCTCGTTTGTTCACGTTCTGTCGTTTGTTGGAGCTCCTGTACAAGATTTTAGCTCTTTTGATCTTTAGTTGTTGTACCCACAGAACTAGGAATAGGGACAGGAGTAAGGTCATTGAGATGGGTTAAGAGTTGTTGTTTCACTTGTATGCGTGCAAGATACATTTTTATTTTTTTAGAAAGCTTGATGAAATGAGGAAGTTCTCAACTCCTCAACTATCTGTAGAAATGTGGGTGAAATGAAATGATACTGAATGAATGCTATTGCAGTACATCTACAGCTGTAAGCAACCTTAATAATAATGATAATAATATAGGGAACATTTTTTTCTTACCCGCTGAATACCAGGACATAGCTATGACACGTTTGTGTCAAAAGAGGGTGCATTATTCCAAGGTTTGACTTGACCAATACTGGGTCGATGGTGCTGTAAAACACCTATTCCGACAAACATTTGACTGCACGTCCTTTGAGTCACTTAGATGGCGTGTTATTTCAATGACTCTGTCTGCCCTTCATTCCTAGTTCTGTGGTTTCTTCTTCAGGCGTGTTGTTACCATGGCGATGCCATCTGCCTCTTGTCGGTAGTCCTTAACCGTGTCGTGTGCGTGCGTGCTTGTGTTTGTGTTTGTTGTTTGTGCATCGTTCTCTGCTTTATTTAGATTGGCTCCTCCCACGAGGCGGGACTCCAGGTTGGTCTTCGTGAGACGAGAGAATACCCCGAGCTCGTTGTAGTCTGTCACTTTTTTCCTGTGATCTGTTTTTTTGCTTTATTTCTGCCTGTGCAGTAATGTGTGCCTGTCGACTTGAAGTGTGGGATGGAAGCAGTTTTCCTGTTGAGAAGAGGTTACGAGTGTGTCGTCCATCCACACCCTGAGGTGTGTGATGTGAGGTTGTCGTTGATGACCAGCGTAGATTTTTATCTGCCTTTTAACAACATTGAGACTAGACAGGCCCCCATCTTTTGTCAATTCTGCAGTCTGTGCATACTTTGTCACATAATAATTTGGCTGGCAAAAGAACAGGTCTCGTGACTCGGCTCTCGAATAAAGATTAGCTTGGAGTGGCATTCAATGCTGAATGAAAGATAAAAAAAGTAATGAATGGGTGTTGGGGGAGATGAATGCTCATTAAACACCCCCCCCCCCCCCAAGAAATAGCTGTGTCGTCTTTTTCTCGCCCTGTTTTGATGAGAAGGATTTTTTCTCCCTTTTGGCCAGCTCTGAGTTAGGGAAGTAGAGAGTTGTGTGTGAGTTAGGGAAGTAGAGGGTTGTATGTGAAGACTGCTTCCATGGCACATCATGTCCTCTGTGATGATCATCTACTAACATTTAACAGTAGTGGAGTGTGCCTGTACGGCTGCATCATGGACATAATGTTCTGGTCTGGTGTGGTTGTCCCTTTTCTGTCTTGTCTCTCTATCTCTCTCTCAATCTCTCTCACTCTCTCTTTGCGTGTCTCTCTCTCTTTCATCTCTCAATCTCTCCTTCAAGATATTGACCACTGCTTGGCAATTGCTGGATCTTTGACCAGTGCAGAAAACCAAAACTCACAGGGCGGGGGAGGGGATTTGGAATGATAAAGATGTAGGATCTAGCAAAGGTTAATAGAAGAGAAAGATAGAGAATGGACTATTATTCATTGTCTCTATTTCCTCTGCTGGGATGTTTGCTGAGAATGAAGGCATCACCTAAATGTTATGAGATATATGGAATGAGATTGGTGGAATACCCCCCTAAGCTCTGAAGAAACGGGACCACCAAAAATCAATATCCATCACCTATATAACTTATCCAAGTTGGCAGAGAGCCTTGAACACAAGCTAAAAAACGAGTTAAATAATGGCTTGTTTGTAATGGAATTCCAGGCCGAAGGGCTAGAACCCAGATAGTTGCTGAATCGGAAAAGTAAAAGTACAGTAATTGAAATCGGGGTTGTCAGTATTCTAGTTGTTCATGACACCAATTGCGCTATTGGCATGATTTGTAACAAGAGTGAGTGAAGCCGGCGTGAACGAGTAGGGTGGGTAATGTAGAGAAAGGGGGAATGGATAGTCATCACATCACAGAAGAGAGTTCTGCATACTTTCTTTTTGTGAAGAGGGAGCTGGAACATTGAAAGGGGGCATTCTTGAAAAAAAGAGGTCAGTATATGGGGGG